CATCATACAAGTAGTATCTCTAGACCTTTAAGGCAAATACCATAATAACAAGTTTCAAATCATGTGTTAGATAGTTCATCTCTTGTGGCTTCAACTATCTAAAAGCATAAGCTATAACTTTATCATCATGCATTAGAAAAATATATTAGAACTTTTAGTGAAGCATCATTATGTTGACTTGGTCAACCAGGTTGACCCCAGACTTGGGTCTGGACTCAGCAGACCTAGTTTGCTCCATTAAACTTAATGGGAGGGGCCTTGGGGCCTGGCTCGATCAATTTGACTAAGTCAACCCCATTGACCCAAGGTTTGAGTGAAAAAATGGTCAACAATATTGAAATAAAATCATCCATAAAAATTCTTTTATTTCATCATTAAAATATGTATACACAATTGGAGTACATAACTATACACAAAAGCTAAAAATTTGAATAATAAAACTTTTAATGACTATATATGCAAAAACCAAATGAAAGAAATACCTATAGACTTAAATCCAATTTCTGAAACTACTAATCAACAAGATCCTTCCCTTTCTCAGACTTTGAAAACACAATGCAAAACCATAATGAGCTAAAATAGCTCAACAAGCCACAAACACCGTTCTAAAATTTTAAACACTTTTCTTATTAAATGTTTTCTAGAATATTTAAATGTAATATAATAAAGCGTTGGGCTAGACAAAAGAAATAAGAGCATGGCGGTTATCCAAAAATTTAAATAATAATATTGAGCAATTGAATAAACTGAAATTCATTGCAGAATTAAGCATAACAGATTTCTCTGGTTCCATATAGACTCTAAAAAATTTTTGGCCCCTTATGACTCATTTCATGCTTATAGCACTAGAACATGCTCGCATGCACCAACATATGACATTTGTCCACCGAAACATACCTTATAGGCACATGAATATGTTGTATAGGCACACTCCAATATTTGTGATGCAAGAATTAGTATTGTCTTTGATGTCTCTAAAATCATTTAATATATGTTGAAATCAAGGCAAAAAATTAATTTATCATGATAGTACGTAGGAGATGATCCAACTCTAATCTTTACTTCTACACACAAAAACTTTTTTATCTTTCCTGTCATTAATACTTATATCTACTGTAAATATATATACCCCTCCATTGCCTGACTAAAAATCTTAAGATTTTTTTCCTTAAGTTCTAAGCATAACAGATTTTAAATTTTGGTAATTTCTGTAACTTACTATCTCAACAATTCAACTAGATTTGGCGACACGATTTTAACTGAACAGGCCTACAAATTTATCTAAAACATGCTCATGTAATGGAAATCATGATTCATGGATGATTACAAGTCTAAGTTGGATAAATTTAGCTAAGATATTTGTGCTACACTACAGGAAAATCGTATGTTAGCCAAAATAAAAAAATCTTCGAAAAAGTCATTCCGGCACAAAATAGTCTGCCACGGGATTCAAACCATGGTCATCCCACTCTCAAGTTCCCAACCACCGCGCCGATAAGGCAAAATTGCTTCATCTATTTTTTATTATATTTAAATTATATGTTATTAAATATAAAAAGTAATCATAAATTTAATTAATTTAATGTTATTTAATAAATTTATTTTAACAATGAATTATTAATTATTAGTTTAATTAATTTAATTTAATAATAGTTAATATAAATAATTTTATTTGACAATAAGTTATTAAATTATTTAACTTAATTTAATAAAATAAATATTTATTATAGTCATTTTTTAGAAATATTTAATTTTCGTCAAAAATTTTGTTGGAAAGCCGATCAAAAAGTCCGCCGGAAATTCGTAGGAAAATTCATCAAAAATTGTCCGTCGTTAATCCACCGAAAAATCCGACAGAATATGTGAGGAATTTATTTCCGTAAGAAATGAGCTATTTTATGTAGTGCTATCCCTTTCACATTCTTTCCAGATCTTCTTATGCCTAAGTGATTTCAAAATTAATAACTTGGGATTAAAGATTCTAAAATCCTGATCAAGACTTCTGATAATTCATAGATGATCTCATAAAAATTTCTATTTGGAGAGATGGTCGTCCACTTAATTTTGATGTTTCACGACCCTTCTTGAAACATAAACTACTTTATGATGATGATTTTTTATTTACATAGTAGAATGTTTGTCCAATCAAATTAAAATAAAAGTATATATATATATTTTTTATTGGGAATGTCTTTTTTACCCATGTCATATTTTTAATAAAATTTCACTTGAAAATTTAACCAATATGCAAATTTATCATAATAATATATTTGTTGTTGTACAATGCAAGTTACAACAATCATTGATGAATTATTTTCAGCTCACTCAGAGCTTCGCCCTAGCCGCCTCCCTCGAGTCCTATCGCTTCATCGGCTCTGCTCGTTGTGCCTCTCGATGCGGTCATCACGCTAAGAAAAGTTTTTTCTCTTCTTCCACACATCTTCTCTTCACATTTATGGCTGGCTTTTGGGATTCTTTCACCTGATTTCCCCCCTTTGACCGCTCCTACGGTGGGATGGCAGTTAATCGGCTGAATGATCCAAGTTTTTTGGATGGGCGAACAAAATCATGATCTTTCTTAGATGCTTTATCCAAATCCTCTACCCCAATGGCTTTTCCTGAACTGAAAATCACTACCCATCATGGTTTACCTTCATTATGGATTTTGGAGGAGGAGATAATTGCTCTGGCGGCTCCATTAGAATTTGCTTTATTGGAAAATTTCCAAATCGTAGACCTACACTTGATTCATTTCATAGATTTTTCTTTAACCTCAAACTCAATGGCAATTTCTCTGTTACTGTCTTGAATCCTAAGCATGTGCTGATAAAATTGGTTAATGATTAGGATTATAGTAGATTTTTTCACAGCGTTCGTATTTTGTGAATAATTGCTATATGAAACTTTTCAAGTGATCACCTTATTTCGATGTTAATGTGGAATCCTATGTAATCCCGATCTGGGTTTCTTCCCCTAACCTATGACCCCATCCTTTTTCTCCCGATATCCTTCGCGGATTGGGTTGTTTGTTTGGCCAACCCTTAAAAATCGATAATGGTACTTCCATTGGCTCAAGGACTTTGGTTGTCCGTGTCCTAGTTGAGCTTGATATCACCAAAAACTACCCTGATAGGGTGTGGTCCGTGTGGATTGGTCCTAATAAATCCAGGTACATACAATAAGTTGAAATGAAGGAGTCCGGTCCTTTTTGCGGTATTGCAAATCCCTGGGCCATTCAAAAGAGAATTGTCGTAGTCTTCACCCCCATTTAAATGATGCTACCGTGAATGTACACCACCTTGTGATTGCTCGTGACATGACTACCAATGATTTTGGTTCGAATGGGTGTTCTACTATTGTGCCTCTAAAAATTGTGAAAACCTTGACAATATAGCTGTGAATCCAATATTGACTAATGTTGGTGACGTAGCCGACCCATCTGATGCCAATGTTAATTTGGTTACTAAGGGCATTACTAATGCTATGGATGATAAACCTGCAATTGTTCTTGCTTCAAATAGTTTAAGTAATCATTTAGCTATTTCACCTAATGTGAATTCTAATGAGCAATGAGCAAGTGTAAGTGATGGGAAAGTGCTATCTATTGATGTTGATTTGGGGTGGCAGGGAAATCTTTCAGTCCATACTAATGCTTCTCCTTCTCCTCAAGATGGTTTGAATGTCTCTAATATGTTACCTATAATTAATATTCTTGTTTCCCCTATTGATTTGGATGGGGGGAAGCCTCATGATAACAAAGATCGGTCAAATGCCATTATTATGGTTGAGGGGATTTTTATGATGATAACAATTTGAATGCTGTTACAGTTAATAATAATTATTTTTCAGCTGCTTTTGGCAAGAAAAAGAAAAGTTAAAAAAAAAAATGAGGGATCAAAATTTCAAATACTCGATTGGCAAAGCTTCTAGATCTATAGCTTCCTCATAATGCTTGCAATTGTTGTTTTATTGGTGGGTTGATTGTTGTGGTGGGGGTGGTGCATATTATTTTTTTTTCTTTTTGGTTATTGGGTTGTTGATTAGCCCTTTTGTTCCTTCTGTTGTTCTTCTGGCTTGTTCGTGGCTAGATGTATCATTCACGTTTTATTTTGATATTTTTTATGCTCTATTTTTCTGTAGATTTTTGAGGATTTCCAAGCTTCTTCTCTGGCTGCTTCTTTGGGGCTTGGTCTGCTTTTGCTTTTATTCTATCTATTGTAACCTAGTAAGGTTTTTCAGCTTCTCACATTGCGATTTCAACTTATTTAATGCGTAGACCCTTATTTAGGGTTTTATCAACAAAAAAAATGCAAGTTGCAATAAGTCTCTATCCCACTACAAGAGATCAACTACATAAATCTTTTTTTCTCCATTATGTCATATTAAGAGTTAATTTATCATTTAAATTTAATAAGAAAAAATTATTTCTTATATTTTCTAACCAAACATTATTAAGTCTCCATATGTCTTTCTTAAAATAGTCCGTATCAAATACATCTATTATCCTAATCGGATCATCGGAAAGCTCATGTTTATGTGACCAAACCATTTAAAATGACTCTCTAATCTTATCTATCGCTAGAGCTACTACAACCTTTTTCATGTATATACTAATTTCCATTTTCTCCAACAGTAAAATCACTCATTCACCCGAGCATCCTCATCTCTGCAACACTTAATTTTATGCTTCTTTTAATGGTCAACATTATGCATCAAAAAGTATTGCAAATCTCAACAACTTATAAAATTTTCCCTTAGCTTTGAGGGGGTACTTTCTATCACAAAACAGACCCAATATTACATTTATCCACTTCAACCATCCAACTTGAATTCTGCTAATAATATCTCCTTCTATTTCACCATTGCTTTAAACATTAACCGCAAGATATCTAAAGCATCACTTCTTTTAAAGACTTGATCACCCAATATCATAATCACACAACCAGATCTATTACCACTAAAATTAAACTACATAACTGAGAAAAAAAAGGTCTGTAAGGTGTAATAATACTCTTTAAAATCTAAATATATAATGTCTCCATACAAATATCCAGCTCTACCTTCAATTTTTTCTACTCATACTTTGCTATCAATGGCTTTACAATCAAACCATACATAAAAGCTATCAGAAATTGCTTGTTCTATCTACTAAAGAGCCTTCTCCCTCTCAACCTGTATAGTTACATGACTGATATTATACTCCTTTCTGATATACCCAATCACCTGATCCAGAACATCCTCAGAGTTAGCTTCTGGTTTGATTGTAACATGGCAAGCCAACAAAACTTTGCCAATGGTGATAGCCCATATGTGCAGCTCATGAACCGCCACCACCCCCTCCACTTCGCACATTCCCTTCTCGAGCTTCGTTGCGTCGATCTCTCTCGGGGTGCTTTCCATTAGCACCGACAGTATGTTACGAAGCATGTTGATCGTGGTGATCAGAACAATCAATGAAAACAATAGTGTGCAAAGCAGATCCACCATCTTCCATTCCGGCTTGCACCATATGATCACGCCACCAACCATCACCCCAATGCTCTGAATTGAGTCGCCAAGCACATGAAGATAGGCACTTCGGACATTAATGCTTTGCTTCTTCTGTCGCTGCGATTTTCTCTCATCATTTTCAGCTGTAATGTTGATGTCGATGCTGTGGCTGTGATGTTCACTGTGAGCTCCATGGCCATGGCTATGGCTATGGCTATGGCTATGGCTATGGTCATGATTATGGCCGAGCAAGACGACCATGATGATGTTAACAAACAAGCCAAAGGCTGCAACTGCGAACATCAATTTGCCATGAACTAAATTTGTTCCATGTATCAGTCTCATTACAGCCTCATACAATATGATACCAGTTAGGAGCCATATAAGCTGGATGGAAACCAAAGCACCAAGAATTTCGATTCTGTAAAATCCATAGGATTGACGAGGAGTTGCTTCCCATCCAGCTGCCCAAATGGAGAACAAGGAAATGGCGAAAGCCGCGATATCGGAAAGGAGATGAGCTGCATCTGTGAGAATTGCAAGGCTGTTTGCTTTGATGCCTCCAACAACTTCTATGCACATGAAGATCATGCAGAGAAGAACTGCTATAAATAGCTTTCTTATAGAAGCTGACCTCTCCTTTGCATCTTTTGACTCCCTGACTGAATTAGATAAAGCACAGGTAGAACCTCCACATGTCTTGATGTCTGCAGAGGTTGGCTCAGCCACTTGCGGTGCTTCGCCAATTTCAGTGATCGAAGATTGCTGCGAGCACTGTGGTTCCATCTGCAGAGTGTGAGGAAGAAGATGTGAGAATCAATATTGACAAAAAAATCAAATATACCATACAAAGGCCTACTGGCTCTCAAACCCTCCTTATCCTTCATTTGTCCTTGCAAATGTGGTTAGAGAAATGCTGAACACTTACAACAATAGCCTACCTCAAACCAGGAGGTGCCTGCTTGAAAGTTTATGAATTAACTCAGGATTCTGCCAATAGATTTTGTCACCTAACATTTTCATAGTGGATGATCATTATTTCTCCTCTTTCAATTCTTCAAATTCTCTCAAACCCTTTTCCGCTGGATGGCCTCTCCATGGATCACAACATGGATAACCAACATTACAAATTTTATGAATGCTCTTAACCTAAGCTGCTTTCTTTGACTCAGGATAATCAGAACAGGCAAGTAACGTGAGAAAATTCATCTCATAAGCCTTCCACCAATATGAGCTATTATTCTGTGCGGACAATGGACGGTAACCGTCCGGTTAAGCGCCGGGCACCCAGCGGTATCGAGGGGTACTGAGCTTGGTACCGAGCAATGGGGTGACGTGACGTATTTTTATTGGTCTCCGAATGCCCTCAAGACTCCGTACAGAATAATAAATCCCCCCAAATAGGGTCCAAAGAACTATGAAGCACAAACAGGGACATAAGCACACATACACGACACGACATAATTGCAAAAAGGGAGATTTACATACATACCATTTTATACTACTCTATTTATATATTTAACACCTAACTTTAATATTACATACATACCACCCATAGTTCAATTTCATATAAAATATGAGTGGTAGAAATGAAATATATAAGTGGTAGGAAGGAAATATGAGTGGTATATTTGATATTAAAATAATATAGGATGGTATGTATGTAATATTAAATTTTTGAGTGTTAGATATGTAAATAGGATGATATAAAGTGGTATGTATGTAAATTTCCCTTGCAAAAATTAGCACAGACATATCATAAACATATTTTTATTCATCATTGATTGTTAGTATGAATTACATAATTTCTACTATTCTCTACTAAATAAATCATAGGATGAAGTATGATGAAATATTAAAGTAGGTTGTGTTAGAGCATTAGAAGCCGAGAAAACATTCTTCCTTTAGACTACCTAAACTTTTAAGATGCTAAAGCCTGCTTCTGGATAATAGTTATAAATTAGACTATTTAGAACTCACTTGAGCAATTATTACGTCCGGTCAACTGAACGCCTTCAAGGCCAACAACTACGTGCCACATCACCAAAAACTCGGTATTGAGCACTCGGTATTGCTCGGTATACATTCGGACCGTTCTGTTTTTGACTGGATGTAATAATTTCTCGTGTTTGTTAGAGAGCCTTACCCTACTATTGATCTTAGGTGCTTAACTTCTATGAAGATGTGGGATTCTTCATCTTCAACTTCGACGCAAGGTGGAAAAGCAAGATCAAAGAGGGGGATAAGTCTTCAATTTCAACAAAGGAGGAGAAGAAAAGATTGAAGAGTGGGAGGCGAAGTTTTTCACTATGGCGAAGGTGAAGAAGCACAATCATCTTCAACTAAGGCTATGGAGAGGCGAGATAGAAAGAAGGGGATGCAATACAACACGCAACTATGGAAACTCTCATAATAAATATGGTTCTAAAATTTGAGTAACGAACCACTCACTTACATGTAACCCTGCTTCTCCTCCTTATGTGACTAGCTAGGCAATTCCCAAAAAAAAAGAGAGACCTTTGAAGAAATGCAACTCATAAAACAATGAATGAAACCGAAGGAAAATCAAGCTAGAAATCGCAACAGCAAAAGATCCAATCTTTTCAGAAGAAACACAATGAGAGGAAAAAAAAAACAGAGAGATCTTTTTAGGTACCTCTCGACAACGAAGGCCAGCTGAGCGCCTCTGCTCTGTTTTCGCAGAAGAATATGGAGAAGGGAAAGAGAGAGAGAGAGTCCTTATAACCGCAATGGAAATTTTTCCTTTTTAGAGGGAAAGAGGAAAGTGGGAGTACGGGGCACGGATGCATATAGGCGGGAGAATAGAGGCGTTGGAACAGAGCTTTAACATTAAAAATTAAAAAATAGGATGGTGCAAGCCTGCAAGGAAATAAAAAACCAAATAATTCCGTCTTTATATATTTTATTTTATACTACAGATGTAAAAAATAATAAAAATAACTAAATAAAAACAAAATTTAGGGTTGTCAAAATCAAGTGAGATTCAGGTTCAACCTGAAACTGAACCGGCACTGTATGACCAGGCCCTTTTTTTTCTAACGGGTCGATTTTTCAAAATCGAACCCAATGTAGGTTCGGGTCAACCCAAACCAGACTCACTTCGAGTATATTTAACTAATTTTTTTATTCAATTCAATTAATTTAAATCTAAATTAAATTAAGATAAGATTTACTTCAATCATTTGAAAATCAATCAAATTTAATTCAATTTGGACAACTTGATTTATTATTTTTTGAAAATAATATTTACTTATTTCATAACAATTTTTTAAAACCCTCCTAAATTACTTAGTAACAGATCAAATTGTGTTGATATTGGATTTCTACGTCAACACGAACCCGAAGTTTTTGGATCGGGTCAAATATTGACACCCCTAACATAAATGTCTATATAAATAATATTAAAATTATTATTTTTAAAACTTTGACAAATTTTTATTTATTCATAATTTTGATATGAAATGCATTTTATTTTATTTTATTATTTGGAAAACAAAAGTTATTTTCTATAAATTTTTTTTTATAGCAATAACATTTTAAAGCACATGATACCGTTTCGTCATGACATCTGTATGCACTTTCAAGGCACCAAAATGAGAAATAATTTTATTTCCTTTCTACTACGGTAAGTTAGCGCTTCGAAGGATGCTTTCTCGCTTTGCTTTGTGGTGGGGCCCACTTTTCCAGTTTGTTCAAAAATCAAAAGTTTTAAAAAAAGCAGAAGAGTTTTTCGGTTTTAAATTAAAATAATATTTCAAAAAATAAATTTATGAACTACCTATCGTGCAATTTAATTTTGGTTTGTTTGAGATTGATTTCTTATGATTTAAAAAATTTGTATTCAAAATTATTTTAAAAAATAATAAAATTTTTACAAATAAAATCTTAGAGTATTTATATTTTTCATTTTGAAAAAATATATTTTTAATTATAATTTTAAAATATTTTTTAAAAAAGAAGAAATCTTAAATAAACTGTCAGCCAAAGATATATTATTTTTTATTAACTACTTTTCTTAGTATATAAACAGTCAAAAAATTATTCCAAATAAAATTTAATTGAAGATCGCTTAAAACAAAGTTTATCAATTCGTGCAGAGGGTGAAACAATTGGAAAATTTGATCATTTGGTTGATTTGGATCAGCTTTGAAATGCATCGAAATTCGACGCATCCAAAGTTTTCATTATAAGTGGAAATGACGGGTTAGCAGCGGGAGCTAGGGGGGTAAACGAGTGGAGTCGAGTCGAGTATTTGTCTTATCAAGCCTGACTCGTTTAATACTTAATGAGCTCGAGCTCGAGCTAGATTAGTGGGCTCGAGATCGACTCGTTCAGAAAATATCAAGCTCGAGCGCTCGTTTGAAAAGCTCGAGCTTGAGAGTTGAGATCGACCTCGTTTGAGAAGCACCAACGCATGTGATGCGTATTATTATATATATAAATAATTATATCGAGTAGCTTGATAAGCTTTCGAGTCGGGTTGAGCTCGAACTCGAGCTCGTTTTTCATACGAGCTCGATTGTAGGCTCGAGCTCAAAGCTCGATAAGCTCGGCTCACGAGCTCGTTAACGAGTCGAGTTCGAGCCGGCTTGGCTCACTTACACCCATAGCGGGAGCTTCTGGCGAGGCATTTTTCTAATTCTAAGTATTTTATAAGTATTTTTTTTTAGACATTTAGATCAATTAAGGCAAATACATATACATCACATACACAATACTCAAACCCAAGACCTCTTAGATTATAGTCAAATCTTCCAAACAACAAATCAAGATGAGCTACGTATAAGTAATATTTCACTAGCTCTAAAGTTTCCAAACAACAGACCAAGATGAGTTGCATAGAAGTAATATTTTACTAGCCCTAAAAGCTCCCATACTACAGATCAAGATGAGTTGCGTATAAGTAATATTTCTCTAGCCCTAAATATCCCAATGCTTCATTTGACGACATCATAATTTCATGGATTGTACTAAAAAGTTATTTTATAAAGCAATAAAAAAATTGTCCTCAAGATGCCTAAACCATTATAATTTCATGAAGTGTCTAGCATAATAGATTGAGGCTTCATTAGGGATGGCTTTCCTACTGCTTCCTAAATCAATTTTCTAGTACTATTGCATCTTAGAATGTTCGCGGCAATAGAGAAGTATAAAGTTTAATGTCTTAGCGTTGTTCGAAGATCCAGCACGCAATCAGATAAGAGAGATATTGTAGCATTCATAAGAGGCACCAAGATTTTTATATTGACCCAGTTTGAATGAATCTACTATTATTTGCAATTGATTAAAAATGAGGACCTTCCTTGAGGGGAAGGTCTTGCTTGATGTACATTATATGGAGAACATTATATGGTTGGAAAACAAAGAATAATTGTTGACTTATTTGTTTGATCGGAAGGAACATAATCGGTGAGTGACGAAGGTCGGAAGGATCATCTTCTGACGACGAAAGTCAGAGGGACTAAAGACAACTGTAGTTGGCGGTCAGAAATCCGGCTATGGGGCGGAAGTACGACGTTGGTAGAAGTCCGAAGGAAGTACCGTAACAGGTGGAAGTCCGACGCAAGGCCGTAAAAATCCGACGACGAGTGCAAATTTTGCGTCGAGTAGAAGTACGATGAAAGTCTGGTGTCGGATAAAACCTTGGTGATGGACAGAAGTCTGGAGTCAGGTAGAAATCCATCGACGGGCGGAAGTCCGGTGTTAGATAGAAATTCACGAAAGGCCTACGATGGATAGAAGCCAGGCGTAAGGCAGGAGTCTGGCTACATGTGGAAGTTCGGCGTCGGGTAGAAATCTGGCAACGGGCAGAAGTCTAGTGTCGAGAGGAGGTCCAACGACTGGAGGAGGTACGGTGTCGGGTAGAAATTTGGCGTCGATCGATAGCCGGGAGGTGGTCGAGGAGGAGTCTAGTGAAAAGAGAGCTCTTACTTCTCTTTTTTCCTTCTCCCTAATGAAGAATGAGGGGCCTATTTATAATTTTTTTAGAGTTGTTTGGCCAGTAAATAAGGAGGAGAACAGGTGCAAGTTGAGAGTGATTTGACTGGACGGCTGATGTTGATCATGGTGTGTTTATTTGAGATTTGAATGTCTTAATGATATGAGAATTTGACGATTTTGGGCTCGTTGGATTCGTCTGGTCGAGGCGCTCAATTCGACTATAAGCATCTCATGTTTGGAATCCGTTTGGTAATCCAAATTCACTCTAGGTCTTTGATTTAGACTCATTTTAGCTCGGATTGAGTCGAATTTAGTGTCGTTGGGTTTGTATTTTAGAGACGTTCTGTTTGATTGTAAGTTTGTTGAAATCAGAGTTCAAATGATCTCCTATTTAATTTTTGAAGTTTCTAACTTAATTTTTGCTTCGAGATTTGTGCCCAATCAAGATAATTTTTTGATGATATATCAAGTACAAAAATTAAAAATTTTGTTATAAAATACTGCTTAAAAAATACTAATAAAGTCCTCCCAAACGAAGCTCAATTACTCTAATGTGCTAAGTACTAACAGGCATATGATCATACGTTAATTTTGAATATTATATTACATTAAAATCAGTATATCAGCAGCAAAACGCATTAACATTAAAGGAAAAAAAATGATAAATAATAATAAACAAAGCTGCAGAGGAAAATATGCTAAGATTTGTTCAACCGCCGAAAGTTATTTACTTTCATAGCTTCGCATATCTAATTAATGTCTTTAATTGAGAGAGATGATTGATAGCATCTCAATCAATTATGAAAACATGCAGCCTCCACAGGAATTAAGCCCTCCAGATTTTTTTTAGCGGCTATTTAAAAATATTCATATTGATTTGAAATAAAATAAATATAATATAATATTTTGATGTATTTAAAATTTATCATCTAGTTCATTTTTAGTATATTTGGAACTCCTCCGATTTGGGCGAGTTTCAAATACACTGAAAATTCAATGCTATTGTTGTCCGCTGCCGCCGCTATGAACCAGCTAACAACAAACACCCGCTGCCACCGGCCCCCATGTACTTTTCAGGGATTTTGAATGAATATCCTCATTGAACTTTAGATGAAATGAGCTATCCTTTGGCCTTATAAGGCTTGTATCATTTAAGATTTTTAGATAAATATAAATCATGTATCTTTTCAGGCTTATGCCTTCTAAAAATTTGAAATAAATAGAAATCATGCATATATCTTATAAAGCTTATACTTTTTTTATCAATATTATAAATGAAAATGTTGCACCTTCTAAGGCTATTTAAGTCTACAGTATTAGTCAATATTGATAGTCAAAACTCCCCCATCAACTTACCAAGGTGAGATGTTTAATCATACATTATTAGTACTCACCTTTATTTAAAGCTCAACTTCCAAACCAAACCTCAATTTGATGAGAGATTATACCAAACCTCAATTTGATGAGAGATTATTACGTGTAGAATTCGGATGTATTTAAAGGTCAATTCAGACACACCATATCATCCTATATATTATATATTAGTGAAAAGTCTGAATTGACATTCATATGCACGCAATAATTTTTTCAATTTGACGAGGCGAATTATTACGTCCGGTCACCGGACGTCCGGACATCCAATCTAGACGCGCCACATCACACTGAGAGTTAGTATATTTGAGTGACGTGGCGCGTCTGAATTGATGTCTGGACGAATCCGAATACCGAACATACTAATTTACCATTTGATGGAGTCTTGATATAGCTTTTAATCCGGACTCTTACGTATCTTGGAGATAAAAAGGAGAAAAAATTTTCACATGACATCA